CACACACACACACACACACACACACACACACACACACACACACACACGAAATAACGAGAATGAAATCTAGTGCATGGCTAATAACGTATAGACACATACATACATATGACAGATTATTTAGCCTCGCAGTGTTACACCTGCAACTCTAATATTGTAACATTGTAAATCTGGAAAGTTTTTCTTCATTGGTAGATGGAGTTCCCTATACCAATGTAATGCTGTGTTGCACTTGGAATTAAGATTTGGGTTCTAATTTTGTCCCTCTTACCTGTATGATCTCAGGCAAGTTGCTTACCTTCTCTGTGCCTAAATTTCCCTTAACTATAAAGTGAGGCAGTTAGATTACATAACCTCAAAGTTCCTTTCTATATCTAAATGGGAAGTGAGGGAAGACTGACAGGAGAGAGACAGAGGGAGAGAGAAAACCTTCACCAACTCCACCCCACCATTCATGCAAGTGCAAGGCATGGATGTACACCAATGAGGAAAGAGTCCTATAGAGACGCTTTGGGATTGAGGTTATGAGGTATTGAATTTAATCATCTCTTTAGGGATTAGCCATTAAACAGTAAGATGGGGATATCTGTTAGGATTCCAAACAACAAAAAATAGATTGATGTCACACATCTTTAGTCTCTGAGGGCTGATGAATAGCTTAAGCTCAGGAGTTCACAGCTCCAGTAGGGCTGTCAGTCCAGTATTGATACCAACATGGTGAGCCCCCAAGAGTAGGAAGCAACCAGGCTGCCTAAGGAGGCATTCGGATAGAAAATGAAGCAGGTCAAAGCTTCTTTGCTAATCAGTAGGGGAATTTGGCCCTGAGTGGCTTCTGCACTTCTAGCCTGAGTAAGATAGGGAAATCCAGTCTGAAAAGAAAAGAGGAAAATAATTCCCCCACATGCTAACTAAAAAACTATACAATCTCTGAGATCCCTTTTTTGAGAATGGATAGTATACTGAATAATAGATTCAAAAGGACTTCTTTGTAATCTGGTCCAGCCACCCACTTTCAAGCAGGGGAATAAACTAAAAATCTGCACTTCTGAAAAGCTACTTCTGTGCTAGATTGTACTCTTGGGTGGAAGGGGAGCAGGAGTAGCCCCAACACGGTGCTTTGTGTCTGTGATTTTACAGATACAGGGAACTCCTGGTGATGAAACTTCTCTACAAATACACCAGGACAACTGTTCTGTAAGCGCACACATCCATTCGTTGCCAGAGCTTTTCATTTCCACCTTCACATCTCTCACATCTGATTCCTTCTCTCCATTTATATAGCTCCTTTCTTAGTTCAGCACTTCACCCCTCTTGCCTTGTGACAGCCTCACCAGCGACCTCCCTTCCTCAAGCCTCTTACCACTCAAGTCCTTGATTACTCTTTCAACCAACTCCAAGGACTTCCTACTGCCTCTACGATAAAATATAAGCTCCTTTGTTTAACTTTTAAAGCCCTACTCAATGTGGCCTTCAATCTATCTTTCAACTTTCATTATACATTACCTCCTCCCTGTGCTGCATTTTGTGATCCAATCAAATTGTCCTTCTCTCTGTTCCTCCTCCATCTCTGATCTCCATGCCTTTGCACTGGCTGTCACTCATGCCAGGGATACACCTTCTCTGTCAGCCCCTCAAGAGTCCTCTTCCTTTAAGATGAAGCTGAGGCTACACCCAAAAGCAGGAAGCTTTTCCTAAATGCCCCAACTGCTAGTTCCCTCCCTCCCAAACTACTTTGTATTGAACTTTGTATATATTTGTATTTATGAACATTATATATTTATGCTGCATATATTTTTATACGTACTTGTCTCCCCATTAGAATGTAAATCTATTGTTAGTAGAGATGACTTCTTTCTTGGTACTCCTAAAAATCTCCAGAGCCTAACAGAGTGTCTGGAATATAATAGGTGCTTCATACTATTTTAATTATTGCACCCAAAACAGAATATAAGTAGGTGGGGAGAAAGAAGGCAGATGAAGTATGGTTGGGTGGCTTGGGGTCAACTATATATAGCAAGCTCCCACCAATCGGCATAGCATACATCCCTCCCCTAGCTTAAAGGTCTGGTAATGAAAATTCCTGAGGAAGGCAGGGTGGATTATCAGGAAGATGACAGTGAATCACTAAAAACAGTAAATAATTGCAACAAGAACCATGGTGCTTTTCCTATGCAGAATATTCAAAATAGACTTATAGGAGCCTCCAGCTTTACAGACAGAGATCACCTAGTTCAACACTTTTCATTTTGCAGTTGTAGAAACTGAAAACTGGAGGTTAAACTGATTTAACTTGCTCCAAGACACAATGTTTTAAGTGGGAGAACCAGAAATACTACTAAATGAAAACAAAGCAATGATAAATTTAGATCAATCAGTCATTCATTTAACATTTTTTTTTAGTACCTCCAAGTCAGGTACAGAGCTAGGAACTAAGCATACAAAGACAAAAATGAAAAATGTCCCTGTTCACGTGAATGATTGATTGATCTGATATTTATGTTTTATCAGAGGTCTAAAAGTAAAATACTTATAAACTATGTCAAACTCCAAGCAGATAAAGTCATTGTTAATTTATTCTTTCATAATTCTTAATACTCCAGAATTAATAATGGTATACAATTGTAGGCATATCACCAAACTCTGTGTCTGGCAAGGACCTAACATTATACTGGAGATGGAGGTGGAAACAGGGAGGAGGAAACACAACATACACATACTTAAAAAAATATAAAAGATATATACAAAGTAAATACAATATTGTTTTTGACAGATAGGCACTAGCAATTGTGAAATCAGGATAGGCCTCTTATAGGAGATAAAACTTGAGCAGAGCCTTGAAGGAAGCTAAGGATTCTCCAATGCAGAGATGAGAAAAACAGCACCAGCCCTGGAGTCAAGGACCTGAGTTCAAATCTGATCTCAGACAGTTGACACTTACTGTGTGGCCCTGGGTAAGTCACTTAACCCTATTGCCTAGGGCCCCCCCCCCCCCCGCAAAAAAAAGGCAACAGGGAGAGGCCAAGTGTCCTTTCTGGGTTGTGGAGTGACATGGTCAGACATGCTTTAAGAATACGAAGTTATTGGGGCAGCTGGTGGTTATTACAATTGCCCCTTTTAACAGATTTCCAGATCTTGGGGCAGCTGGGTGGCGCAGTGGATAGAGCACCAGTCCTGAAGTCAGGAGGACCTGAGTTCAAATCCGGCCTCAGACCAAACACTTGACACTTACTAGCTGTGTGACCCTGGGCAAGTTACTTAACCCCAACTGCCTTAAAAAAAAAAAAAAAAAAAGAATATGAAGTTATATGGAGAATGGATTAAATAGACAGAGGAGGTAGAGGCAGAGATACCCCTTCACTGGATTTAAAAGTCACACAGTAGTTCTCAGCTATTATACAACAGTTGTGAATATGCTATGAAGTTCCTCATAGTCACAGGAAATCACTGTTTTCCTCACATTTCCAGAAGTCCCTTAAGTTAATAAAACATGCAATGAGCATGGCAGGGGAGATTCCTGAAATAGTCCCATAGTCCTTTCATGTAGATTGAGAGTTTAGGGTCCTCCCCACTTGTTACATGTGTGATCTGGGAACATGTCTACTTCTGCTGCCTCTTGGTAAAAAAGCAGAAAATACAAACTTAAATGTTAAAAGTTCTGTCACATACAAGCTAATTAATGAGAAACTAAACATCTTGATTCTGTCTTTACTGTTTCCTTTACTAAACCACACATTTCTCAGGTAGTCGCATTGGGAAGAAAGCTTTTTTTTGTTCTTATAAAATGACAATTCTGTTTATTACAATAATGCCTCCTTATAGTTACATCAAACTTTTATTTAGATTATCTCACTCCACTTCACAGCTGACCTATGAGATAGGCAGGCCAGGTAGTATTATCCCCATTTTACAGACATGGAAACAAGCCCAGAAAAATTAAGTAACTTGCCCAAGAGGTCATAGTTAATCAGTGGCAGTGCTAAGATTTAAACCTGTTTAGTGTGGCTGCCATTACAACACAGATTTTTACAGTTATATCCTACAATGAAAACGACCAGTTGATAAGCTCATCATGGCAAAGTTCACTAAAGAAGACTAACAAAATCTCAAAATTAAAATCAATAAACATTTATTAAACATCTATTATGTGCAAGGCACCATATTAAGTACTGGGAATAAAAAGACAAAAACGAAACAGTCCCTGCCTGTGAGTTTCTACTTATACTGGAAGTGTACAATGCTTACACATCTATGTATATGTATATAAAATAAACCAAGGAAGGCAAGAGTATTAAAAATCATGGAGGTGGGGAAGGAGAGAGAACACTAAAACAGGATTTATGTAAATAGTGGTCCCTGACCTGACCCCTAGAGGAAAAGGCTTCTAGAAGGTGGCACTAAGGAAGCAGGGCATACCTAAGTACAGGGGTATCTCGTATTAAAGTCCTGAGACAGATTCTGAAAGCAATTTGGAATTATACCCCAATTAAACTTCCTTTGACCCAGTGGTATCACTACTAGTCATATGCCCCAAAGACATTAAACACAGAAGGAAAGGACCCATATTTACAAAAATATTTATAGCAGCATTTTTTGTTGTAGTAAAGAAGTGGAATCTAAGGGGATGTCCATTAACTGAGGGAATAGCTGAACAAATTCTGGTACAGGTATATAATTGTACCAAAGTAAATGACAAAAAAGAATGGGTTCAGAGAAATCAGGAAGGCATTTATGAACTGCTATGGAATGAAGAGAGCAGAACCATAACAATTTATATTATCATATCAAAGAAAAACAGCTTTGAAAGACTTTAAGAACTCTGAGCAATACAATGACTAGCCACAACTCCAGAGTACGGTGAAACACGCTTCCAACTTCCTAACAAAAAAGTGATAAACTAAAGGTATAAATTAATACACATATTTTCAACATAGTCTACATGTGGATCTGTTTTGATTGACTATACTTATTTGTTACAAGAAAGTATTGGTTTTATTTTTTATTTTGGTGAATTTATATTTACATTTAAGGGAGAAGGGAAGCAAGTTATAGTGATGGCAAAAAATGAAGAAAAGAGCATCATGAAGCACTGATGAGAATGCACAGAAGAGAAAGATGAAGGTTCAAAAGGAGACACCAATAAGCAAGATAAATTTTAAACTATTTGAATATATCACATGCTTTAAAAAAGGAAACAAGCAGGACATAAAAAAGATTTATGATTTCATGTGCAATCTTATTTTCTGTTCTTCTTTGTACACGGAAATGTCCATGTCTCTCGGCATTTGTCAAGTTTGGAATGAAAAAAATAATTTTTTTAAAAACTAAGAAAGGGGCAGCTAGGTGGTGCAGTGGATAGAGCACCAACCCTGAAGTCAGAAGGACCTGAGTTTAAATCCGGCCTCAGACACATAACACTCAATAACTGTGTGACTCTGAGCAAGTCACTTAGCCCCAATTGCCTCACTAAAAAAAAAAAAAAAGCTAAGAAAGTAAACTAGGAGGACATAAGGACATAAGCTTGTGAGGAAGTACATTAGAATCGATAAGAATTGGCAACTGGCAGTGTTGTTTATCCTTCATTTTCAGAAAGGTCCACTGACATCACAGGACGACGTCTTAACTCCTGTGTAAATTGGATTTAAGTGAGGCAGAGTTGCACAAAATTGTTGGTCTCATTCTCTCTTCTAGTCATTGAAGTTCAATCGCAAAAAAAAAAAGGTGGGATAACTGGTGATGGCCTGGGATGCAGTGGACTACCTTGGCATCTTTGACGCATGACCAAGCTCTAAGCGCTCCACAACACCTGCCTTCAGCCACCTTCATGGCCATTGGAACAACTTGTTCTCATCTGCCCATTCTGCATGGGAGCAAGTCTTCATATGCTTGGGATAGACATCCCCCTCACTCACCAACAGGCCAATGACTTTGAGGCCTGTCAGTTACCCTCGAGACCTGGTTTAGCTCCTTCTGCCTAGGTCTTACTGAGGTATGGCCACTGCACATGCTACAGCTTTTTGGAGCCACAGTTGAGAGTTGGTTGACAGTGAGCACCAAAGGTAGATGAACATCCCTGAAAAGACCTTGGCAAACCCTCACACCAGAGGTGCTGGTCCTCCTTGATCAACCCATACACTGGCAGGGGGTGAAGGAAAAGGAAGAATAAAGAATGGCCTATAAAATTATGAACCTGATGGTAATCTCAACACAACTACAGAAGTATGGAAGAGATGGAATTTGATGAAAAGGGGTGGGAGTGAGAAGACAGAAAACTTATCATACCCTCCAGCGAAATAAGATACTCTCAGATTCTTAGCCATGAGGTATTCGGAGGCTTTCCCATTCAAATTCAGAGTACACTGAACTTTCTTTTAGAAGTCAGAAATATTCAACAATTCACACATATAATCAGATTGTCATTTGAGATGTTATTTCAGAAGTTTAAAATGTTTTAAAAATCAAATGATGTTGATAGCTTAACAGATGAAAAAATCAATAACCATGCTACATCGTATAATGTGAATTAAAATACATTAGTTCAGAATCAGCAATTTTTTTTTATCTTCCAGAGTTCTTGAAAAATGTATATTTTTGTGGTGAAAAAGGAAAAAATTAACACAGGTAAGAATGTACTAGTAATGGCAATGTTGGAAGAAGTCTAGCATTTTCTTTGCATTTGTTGTATTCCATGATTGTCCTTTCAGTGGTCCTTCACAAATAGACATATACTTTCTTAAAATCTTTTCTCCTATTTCTCGAAAATCCAAGGATTCTTTGAGTGAAATTCTGCTTGTCCCAGGTCCATTAGTGTCTATGTCACAATTTTCTGGCTCTTCATTTACACAATACTTCAGTCCCCAATAACACATTTCTCCACTGTACATCATAGCCAGCAAATGAGTGTCACTGAACACACCTAGAAAAATCATTTAGGTTGAGATTATAATTACAAAATTAAATTTTTTAATATTTCCTTAAAACTTTCTGTAATAACTTCTATATTTTTAGTCCTTCCCATTTACAACAAAACTTCAAATAACCACAACTTGATCAATCAAAACACTCAACTAAAAAGGACCCACGTGTACAAAAATATTTATAGCAGCTCTTTCTGTGGTGGCAAAGAATTGGAAATTGAGGGGATGCCCATCAATTGGGGAATGGCTGAACAAGTTGTGGTATATGAATGTAATGGAATACTATTGTACTATAAGAAATGATGAACAGGCTGACTTCAGAAAAACCTGGAAAGACTTACACGAACTGATGCTGAGTGAAATGAGCAGAACCAGTTCCAGTACACAACAGCCACACTGTTCGATTACTGACAGATTTAGCTCTTCTCATTAACGCAAGGATCTAAGATAACTCCAAAAGACTCATGATGAAAAATGCCATCCACATCCAGAGAAAGAACTTTAAGAGTCTGAATGCAGATGGAAGCATACTATATGCTCTCTTTTTCTTTTGTTGTTTTGTTTCTTCTTTCTTGTGGTTCCTCCCATCAGTTCTAATTCTTCTTTACATCACGACTAATGGGAAAAATTAAAACTCAAAATCTTATGGAAGTGAATATTGAAAAATAAAAATTAATTAATCAAAAAAAAGAAAGCAAAAGTCCATCTTTTTAATTAAAAAAAACACTCAGCTAAATGGCATTCTTTTCTCTATATTTCATTTTTGGAAAAGGTATATCACAATACAACAAACTGTCAGAGATACATATTTTTATAAAATTTCCAAAATATACAAAGTTCAGCCCAAAGTCATACATTTGCCTTCTGCAACACATTATGCAATGCACAGATGTTTAAAATCATTACTTAGAAGCTTTTCAATAAAAAAAAAGTTTTTGCCATGTCCAATATACTTTATTGATTATAGCAATAAAAGGCTTAAAACATTTTAGACATGTTTTCAGTTAAGGTTGATGAAACAAAAACAAGTTTGTAAATTAACCAGAATATCCCAATAACTGAACCTAGATAAAGTTTTCAAGTATAAGTTGGCTGCTGTTAATAATAAAGGTTTGATAAAGTATAAGGAGATGAAATATAGTAAAAAAAAATTCAATAAACATTTATTAAGTACCAACTTTTTTTTTTTATATTTACATTATGAAGTACCAACAAAACACAAGGAAAGGCACTAGGGGCATAAGACAAAAATAACTTAGTCTCTACTCTGAGGTTATATTCCATTGATGGGATACAATATATACAGAGATGAGTAATAAATGCTAATTTGAGCAGAGACAGCACTAATAACTGAGGGGATTGGGGAAGGCTTCATAGAGAGGGTGGCACCTTAAAGGAAGATAGACAGGAAGAAGTACATGTCAGGCAGGCAATGTTTGTAGAGGCAGAGAAGGACCAGTAGAGACAAAGACTGAAGATGAAAGAAGGAATGACTGATTGGGCAATCACCTAGAAGCAAGAGATATGATCAAGTGGAGAAGAAAACCTTGGCAAGGAGGACCACTTCTTCCTAAGAGACTAAGCAAAGGAAAAGAGATGAAGATGGATAAAGTAGGAGAAATTACAGAGATGGTAATGGATGGGAGGCAAAATTACTTACTGAATGGGATGAGAAAGAAGTATCTGAAGAACAGGCTTAGAATAGTCAGTACAAGGAGAACAAAAGAGAGCCCATCACAGAAGAATAAAAGGATCCCAAGAAGCACTGAGGACACAATTAAGATTAGACAACACGAAGCTGTAGTAGACCCAGTCTTCAAAAGCAGAGTGACTTCCTCCTATAGCATTCAAGGGGAAGGCAGATGGTAGAGATGACTGTGGGCTGCAAACTGACAGATAATGAATAGGCATTAGGGGGTCCAACAGTAGAGTATATAGTACATAGTTAACCTGTTAGATACTGGATCAATAAGATGAAGAGAGAAATGTAAGACCAGAAGAGAGGTGATGGACAAAGAGAAAATGTAATTATAGTGGCACTACCGGTTGACGTAAGGTTAAACAACAGGCTTTCAAAGAGTGAGGCAAATGAAGATGGAAGGACAGGGTACTATAGTCTGAGGGGAATTTTCAAAGTTCAGGTCCGTGAAAATGGCACAGCCTGGGGGAGGGGGTGGGGCAGGGAGCAGTGGTGAGCTCTAAAGTATGATCACCCATACAGGTGGCCAAGGTGGAATAAAGATGGAGGTCCTATAGATTGAATTAACTATTTAGAGGCAGCAAATTTGAAGAGATTCATGATTTCATCATTGCAGTACAGACTACATCCTCCCCAAAGCTAAGCAGGCAACAGCCACAAGTTGTGGTCAAAAATGAGGCACCTCCTAATAAGCTTCTCTGATACTAGGCTGGTTCTCTAGCATTCTACAGGTAGAGCCTTTGAAAAGCTAAGGACACTTCCATGCATCAATGAGGCACTGAATAGGACTGTACTGGAGGCAAAGGAACTAAAGTACAGTCAAATAGAATATCTTACTTTACCTTAAAATAGACAGGCAGGATACTCTCACTTAATGTGGCGGTTAAATGACTTGCCCTAGTCACATATCTAGTAAGTATCTGAGCTACAACTTTTCTGTAAAAAAAGAGTAAAGCCCTTTTGAAAAGAGTATTGTCAAGAGCTTTCCCAATTAACTGTTAGGCAGTTAAAGGTAAATATCTCTTTAAGATTTTTGATCTTAGAGAGCACCATCACATGATGTAATAAAGACAAATGAAATTTAAGACACTTTGAACTTGGGAATCTTACTTTAGACAAATTGAAAATATAAAAATCCATTTTTATACAATAATAAATCAGGGAATAATCATTCACTTGAAATGGAGGACAATAAAGTCTGGCTTTAAAACTTGTTATGCCTTACAGAGAACTGCCAATTGTGAAAGACATAATTTATTAAATATTATTCCAAATTCACAATCTGTATAGTAACATTCTAAAAACTAATGGTGAATGCTGAGCCTCAGTTTCCTCATCCATAAAATAAGGATGTAATCAGTACCAGGTACCTTACCAAATTGTTATGAGGGAAATACTTTGAAAACCTTAAAGTTCCAGGTACATGTGAGCTATCAATATTACAAACATCACTTATTAAAGTCCTTGTAAAAGGAATCTAATTCATCCTATTTTCCCTTCTTTAATTAAAAAGCCCATACATCTGATCTAAATACCTAGTTCTCACAATTTAAGAGAACCATTTATAATTTCACAGATTTCTCACACTATGAGAAATCTCTCATCTTCAACTAAAGTCTAAGAAAAAAATAATACTTCTCACATTTCACATCTAAGCCTAACTTTATACATCTGGTTCACAGTGAAATCTAAAAATGTAATATTCGCAGAATTTTTAAATTTTAAATAAACACATACAGATCAGGTTACCTGCACTAAGTAACTTAGCTGTGTCTATGTCTTGAAAAGAAACATCTTCATTTAGTTGAAGAGGGCATCGAAAATTAAACATCTTTAGCAAGTAACTGATTCCATCAATGAGGCACTGAAAAAAAGTAAAGAATTGTATGTTACACGCAAAATCACTAAAACTTAAGGTATCAACTTTCATTCATGCTCATTTTAATGGCATAAAGTCATTTGTCATTGCTCAAAATATCCATGATATATAATGGCAGAAAAATAGGTACCGCTGTTACTGAAAAAAATGTTAATACTTCTATCAACAAAAAAGTTACACCCAGCAAGACTGAATTCTGTTGAATCAACAAACTCGGTACATTCTGACTTATAGGATTTATGGCTAGGTCAGATCCTTTCCAGATAACTGTTTCTAAATATATATAACAGTTACATGAATATTAATGTATCAACCATCAAATCAACAAATTCCCAGGAAACAGGTTTGTTCACAACAGCAAGATTTGACACAACACTTGGCACATTCCTTAAATAAGCAAAACCACACAATCCTAGGGCTAGAAGAGACACTGAGATCACTTCCCCTTCCACATATGACCAATTTAAACTAAAAAAACATTTACTTTGTATTCCAAGGGAAAGACTTTACAACCTCCATAAAAAAACCAATGTCAATATTTAAATGTCAGAAATTTGTTTGTTATTGCTGATCTAAATCTTGATTGTTGCAGTACAAGCCTGTTTCTTTTCCTCAGTTAGAGGAAATAAAAAAAAAATAAACAGGACTGTAAAAGTGGATACAGCTCATTAAACAAATATGTTTTGACCTGACCAAATACAGGCATAAAGATTGACAAATTTTACTTATAATTGAGAAAAAAAGAAGTGTTCTTGAAACCAACAAACCACATCACACAAAATATCCATAATGACAGATACCTTTTTACCTTTTTAAGCACATCTCTCTTTGCCGAATGCCACTCTTCCCTTGCTGTCACAGTATGGCAATACATATAGAGTAGGGCTCCTCTTCTCCAGTAAAGGCATTCTAGTAATTCTGTCCCAAGGATATCAGAATGCTGAAAGCAAAACATCACTAAATGAAGAAATTTTAATTTTCACATGGCTTACAAATTAAAACAAAGAAATCAGCTGAGTTATAAATCAACATTTGTAACTCATAAGATTAAACATACAAAAATCCATTCTATACAATGGTAAAATAGGGAGTACTCATTCTTCTTACTAAAATTCTTCTTATGAAAAAATTAACAGTAAGTTTCCTTAGGGTAGTTTTTTTTTTCCAAACCAATTTGCCAATGAAATACTTTGGGCCTGAAATATGTTGGGAAAACCTACAAATGCTGGTTCAAGAAGTCTGACAGAATGTATTATCCCTGATCTAAAAGTAGGATCAGTAGATTTTAGTTTAAAGAGTCTATTTCCATACATGCCCCTTTCCTTATGAAATATCAATTGGGAAAATACCACTAGTATAAGCACTTTCTTATAGAACTACCATTTACAAAGAACAGAATGCCAATTGAGTGCAATATAATTGGAGAAACCTCCTTATGAATTTAAAATACACTTGTGTGTCATCAATTATACTCAACTTTTTTAGGAACTCAACTTTTGCCTAAAATATGGTGTATTACCATTGTATATTTATTCCAGTTCCACTAAATAAAGTAATGAAACAAACATGAAATGAGATATGTGACCCAAAAAACTTGAATATAAAATTTTTTTTTTTTTAACAAATGAAATCAATTTTAAATGAAACTTGAGAGGCAGTACGGTTTAGTGGATAGAGCACTGGACTTAGCATCAGGAAGTCTTGGGTTCAAATTCAGCCTCAGACACTAGCTGTGTGACCTTGGACAAATTCCTTAACTACTCCAGGTATTTCATCTTCTATAAAATATTCAAGAGCCTCTGAATTCCTTTCTAGCTCTAGATGCACGATTTCCTGATGATCTTTTGAAATATGAAGTCTTGCTGTTTAAAAGAATCTATTATGAACAATCCTTTTGTGAGGGGGACTTACAGTTTTATGAGTTTAGGTTTTTTAACAGATGAATTTTGTTGAGGATTTTCTTACAGCAGGACATTTCTATATTAGCTATAAAGAGACATTCAAATAAAGTAGTATTGAAAAGGAAAACACTAATTGACATTCTTTGTGAGAAAATAAAGAATATTGAATTTTGCACAAAAAGAATACTCATGTTTTCAAAAATTAAAGCATTGTTCTAATACATTTTTATTGATCTAATATTGTAAAATGTATGTGTAAAATAGAAAAATGAGAAACTTGTATAATCAGGTTGCAAAATAGCTTTCTTCTATTTTTTTTTTCTTAGCATTTTAGGGGTTTTTTTAAATTTAACTAACTTTTTTTTCCGGTTAACAAAACTTATTTCCTCTCCTCACTGCCATTCACCCCCCAATAATTAAAATAAGTAAAAATAAAACTCCTACATATTCAATAATACATGTTCAAGCCAAACAAATTCTTACATTGGCTATGTCCAAAAATATATTTCTCACTTCATATTTTAAGGCCATCATCTTTCTGGTAAGAGGTGGACATAGTGCTTCAGCTTTGGTCCTGTGGAATCATGCTTTGTCACTGCACTCATACAGTTCTAAAATCTTTCATATTATTTTTATCATTCTGCTGTCACTGTATAAATGGTTCTCCTAGTTCTGCTTACTTCACTCTCTACCAATTCACGGAAGTCTTCTGGGGGCAACTAGGTGACAAAGAAGACAAAGTTTTTGACCTGGAATCAGAGTTCAAACCCTGCCTCAGACACTTTATAGCTATGTATATCTGGGCAAGTCACCTATCCTCTCTAAATCTCAGTTTCTTCATCTATAAAATAAGAATATTAATAGTGTGTACCTTTCAAGGTTGTTATTAGGAATAAATATATGTATATATATGTACATATACATATATGCATAAACTTTGCAAACCTTAAAACAGGATCTAAATGCTCCCTATATTATTATTTCCCAATTCTTCTGACACTATCCAGTTCTTCATATCTAATGGCTTAACAAATTTCAATTACATTCATATATCATACTTTCTTTAGTCATTCCCCAAAAGGTGATCATCCTCCTTAGTTTCCAGTTTTTTGCTATTACAAAAAGAGTGGCTATAAATATTTTTAACACATGGGTCCTTTTCCTCCTTTGACCTCTGAAATATAGGTCAAGTAGTGGTATTGCTAGGTTAAAGGGTATACACACTATAGTGACTCTTTGGGCAGCTTCAAATTTCTTCCAAAAATGATTAGAGTGATTCACAGCTCCATCAACAGTGTCTTAGTGTGTCTGTATATCCCCAGACCTTCCAATATTTGCCATTTTCCTATTTTGTCACCTTTGCCAATTTGATGAGTGTGAGGTAGAATTTCAGAGTTGTTATGTTCATTCCTCTAATTATTAGTGATTTGGAGCATTTTATATGGTTTTTTGATAGCCTGGATTTCTTCCTTTGAAAACTGCCTGTTTATATCCTTTGACCATTGTTCTACCATGCAATGGCTCCTAGTCTTATAAATTTCAATCAGCTCTTTACATATCATGGATAGGATACCTTTATCAGAACAACTTGCTACAAAGATTTTTTTCCCATTACTTGTTCCCCTTCTAACTTCAATTGTACTGGTTTTGTTTGTTTAAAAAGATTTTAATGTTATGGAATCAAAATCATCCATTTTATATTCTATAATCTTCTCTATCCTTTTTAAGGGGAGTAATGAACTTTCTGATCTCCAGACAGAAAAGTAGTTTCTTCCTTGTTCCTATCATTTCCTTATGATATACTTTTTTGTCTAAGTCATGTATTGATTTGGAGCTTATCTTGGGGTGAAATGTTAGTTTAGACCTAATTTTTGCTAGACTGATTCCCAGTTTTCCCAGTAATTTTTTTTTTTTAGGCAATTGAGGTTAAGTGACTTGCCCAAGGTCACACAGCTAATAAGGGTCAAGTGTTGGGTCTGAGGCCAATTTTAACTCAGGTCCTCCTGACTTCAGGGCCGGTGCTCTATCCACTGCGCCACCTAGATGCCCTTTCCCAGTAATTTTTGTCAAATATTGATTACCCCAATAACTCGGTTCTAGAAATTTATCCGACACTCTGCTACTGTGTTTGTTTGCTTTTATATGTTGTGTGCCTAATATGTTCTTCTCACCAACCTCTCTAGATTTGAACCAATACCAAATCATTTTGATAAATATTGCTTTGTGGTATAATTTGAAATCTGATATGGTCTTCTATTCAAACATTACTCAAGTAAGGATACATATCATAAGTATAAGAATGATAAAATTTAAGGATTATCCATGTTCCAATATAATCCAGAGTACCTCTATACTCACTTTTGGATGCAGGTTACTTTCTTTAACTACAACTTCTGGTTCTGAAAGAACAGTGATTAACTCCTTTACTTTTTGTAAAGAAGTGTCTTCTGGAAAATCTTCATCTACCAGCTTATTCTCTTCAAAATATGTCATGTCCAATATAGCCTGGAAAAAGAGGATGGGCGTGGGAAGGGAAGAGAAGGTATTTAAATAAGGTGTTCAAACCCAAGGGATGACTTTTCTAAGTGTGTGATACACAACATGAGTTGGTAACTGATGAAGAGAAACTGACTTAAGCGAAGACAAATAGAACTAAGGTATTAGGCAGAGTGGTAGTAAAAAGAAAATACAGAAATAATTTTCCCCTGAAGCAGCTATGCAAGGCCCCTTTTGACTCTCCTGAAAAATAAGCCTTACCCCATAAAAAGTTCAGTTCAATGAACATTCTGTTCCTATCATGTGTAAGCACTGACTGCACTGGGCAAGATATGAACTCAAATCGTCTGTACATCCATGGACATTTAGTCTAATGAAGAATAGGACCCATATAAATATCAACAGTATAAAGGAATACCTGAAAGTTAACAAAGAGGTTTTTATTCGAAGCTCTTCAACATTTCAATATCTAACCTTTTCAATGGTGGGCTAGAGATCCCCCTACCTTGTGTGTTCATCCACAACGCTAAACTGCATAAGAAGGTATTAAGAAATGAATAAGTGTCTGTGTGTGCCTTTGTACAACAACACTAAGTTTCTTAGTTAATAGTTCTCTGCTTTTTGTTGTGGTTCTTGCTAAATAAATCTTTGAAAACTGGAATTCTGCATCCATTAATTATCTGTTGTAATCTCTTCCTCCTCTGGTCTCACTTTTCATAGGGTTCTAGACTTAGCACTGCAAGGAACTTTAAAAGACTATTTAAGTCCAACTGGTCATATTAAAATCCAGAGTTCTTTCCTTTACACTCTCACACCGTCCTGATTTGGGTAGTGTTAATTTTAATTTTCCTCTTCTCTCTTCTCTCTCTCCCTCTCTTTTTTTCTCTCTGTCTTTGTCTCTCTCTTTTTTCTATCTCTGCCTCTCTCCTTTTCAGTAAAGGATCTGAATGTAAGGAGAAATGTAAAGTTCTAAATTTTAGTTAAGATTTGGACAGTTAGGTCTTTACTAAAACATTTAATCTATGATTATTTTAGTTCCTTAAAAAATATTTTCAATTAAAATTGAAATAAAAACTTATAGTTTATTACTGTATATCTTTCTGCTCATGCATACACAGGAGAGAACTGTCTCCACTTCCTCACTACCCATTTATTCCTCAATCCCTTGCAATCAGGTTTCCACTTTAGTGAAACTGCTACCAAATGAAAATTGGTGACTTCTTAATTGCAAAACCAATGGCTTTTGTCAAGCTTCACCCTACTTGACCCTTATGTAGTATGTGACCCCCCAACTATCCCCAAATCCTGGATACTCTTTTTTCCCCTTGACTTCTATGGCACTCAATCTTATCTATCTAACCATTCCTTCTTGATCTCCCTTTATTGGTTGATTATCTTCCACCTTTGCCCAAAACATAGGTGATCCCCCAAGGCTCTGTGCTGGGCTCTCTACTCTTCCTTTAAAAAAAAAAATCCATACACATTCCTTTGACACAATAGTCGCTTCTCAACACATACTATAAAATATATTCCTTAAAGACAATTAAACAATACTCCCAAATAGCATGATTGCTACCCCCATATAGGATGTATCATTTTCCAATCATTAATAGAAGAAAAGATATATTTACCTAAACCTCAAAACTTTCAAACCGAATGTTCCTTATTTCTGTTGTTGACACCATCACCCTCCTCCAGTCTCTGAAGCCTAAAACCTGAGACATCGTGGGCCTTCTCTACCCTGTTACATCTAATCACCTGTTATGCCTTGTCAATTCCATCTCCACAGTTCTCCCATCTGTACTCCTCTCTAATCACAAAACCACTACTCTATTTTAGGTCCTCCTATTTTTCATATGCACTCTTTCAAGCATCTCCTAACTGATTTTGTTGCTTCCAGGTATCATCCCACAGCTTTAACCTTTCTTTAATACAGCTGCCAAAATAATCTTCCTAATACCAAAAATCCCAATACATGTCATTCTCTTGCTAAAATCATTCACTGGCTCTATTGTTTAAACTCCTTAGCCTAACATTTAAGGCCTTCCATTACCTGGCTTCAACCTACCTCTCCAGTCTTATTTCACATTACTATTTCCAGCTAAATTGGAATATTACTGTTCCTTGAATTTGATAAGTTATCTCCACATTCTGGGCATTCCCACAGGCTGCCAAGTACACTACCTCACTTTCACCCTTTAGAATCCTGCTAGTTCCTCCATAAAGGAGGGTTATTCCTTTAACTGAAAGTGTCCTTGCCCTTGTCAAATTTTCTTGGAGCAATTTGTCTCCTTCCCTCTTCCCACAAATATCACATCCTACCTTGTATATTTATTTGTGGACATATCATATCCTTCCAATAGAATATAAACTCTTCGAGAGCAGAGAATTATTTTATGGTTCATTTCAGCTCTTCTACTGCCCAACTCAGTACCTTACACTTAATAAGTGATTGTTACTAAAATAGTGAGGGGAACTGAAACCATATCAGATGAGGATTATTTGATGTCTTTAGACTGAAGCAGAGCATGGGATATGACAGATATGGAAAAAAGATAAAAATCATCTGTGTAGCTCCAGAAATAGAACCACTCAGTAGAAATTATGGGGAGACAAGCAAAGGCTCAATAACCACTTGTCAGTAATATTATAGAGGGTATTCCTGCATGAGAGGTGGTTGAGTGGATGATCTCTAAGCATCCTAATATGGTTTCCTTCTTTGTCAAAAAGACGTGATTTTATATAAACTCTTCAGCAAGTCACTTCTCTTGGGGTCTCAATTCACTCACTTGTAAAATTAGGGGTTAGTGGGGCAGCTAGGTGGCACAATTCTGATCTTAGAGTCAGGAGGACCTGAGTTCAAATCTGCCCTCAGACACTTGACACTTACTAGCTGTGTGATCTTGGGCAAGTAATTTAACCCTAATTGCCTCACCAAAAAAAGCAAAAAAAAAATAAAATAAAATAAAAAATTAGGGGTTTGTACTAAATGACTGCTAAGATCTCTTTCAACCCTAAATCCTAAGGTCATAGTATTTATTCATCTTTGAGGGGTTCTGATTCACAGTTCACAAATGAACTCCTGCAACTTAGGTATGCTACCTCTGAGCAGCATGCCACAAACACCTCGCCCAAGCAGTGATACATCATCTGTGCTGAGAGTCTAGATGGAATTTCTACTCAAATCCCCATAGATTCACAGCCCTATTTCCCAGCCCCCTTAAAAAAAAATAAAGGGGATTAAAATAGTCAAATTTACAAAAAAAAAAAAAACAAAAACCAACATTTTAACAAAAGATCAGTATAGATACTTTTTAAGGACAAATTTTCTGGAGAAAAAACTAAACTCCTTTGATAGAATGTGTCTTCCCTTTCTGATCTTTTCTTACTTCTTTAGTGTCTTATTCCAATCCTAAACTTACATGCAAACCAATTAGAATGTTCTGTAGTAAGTGACTCTAAAACTTAAAATGTTATAAAAGCTTTTGAGTCATTTGCTCTCAGTTCTAGGTATGGGCATTGTGGCTTTAGTGTAATTCTAGGATACCTTCCACAATCTGATTTTTAAGGTAATCTGCTTAACTATCTCCCTTTCTTGCCACAAGGTAAAAAAAAAAAAAAAAAACAAAGAACCATCTTACTTTGTAACGATGTGTGGCATGATATGGTTGAACAACTAGCCTCTAGCATTTGCTTACAGTGTGTACTTGGTCAAATTACTTAAGCACTAAATGTTCATTTCCTCATCTGCAAAAGTAAAATGGTCAAATTAGCGTGTAACAGTGGGCAGACCTTAATATATTAATCTTTTGCAAACATCTTACTTGATCCTCACAACCCTGGTATGTAGGCAGGAAGTATTATTTTATGGATAAAAAAAATAAATAAAAAGTAATTTGGATGGGAACAGTGCCTCTCTGGCTCTTCTCTATGCCTGAAAAGCACCTCCTCCACCTCTCTTTCTCACAGAATCCTTTTCTTCTTTCCCTTACGCATCTTCTACATAAAGCCTTTCCTGATCTCCTTAACAGCCAGTGCTTTCCCTTTCAAACTTTCTTGAATTAACTTTGGATTTCTTCTCTTTTTGTTTACTCTCTATACACTTACATATGTCCTTGCCGTCTCCTGAAATAAAACATAGGCCCCCTGCAAGTAGGGCTGTTTCATTTACTACTAGGCACCCCCACCCCTCAGCCCCCAGCACCTAGCCCAATGTCTGGCACATAATTAGGTGCTAAATAAATGATTGCTGATTGACTGATCAGAAAAGACCTCAGGTAGGAGTTGATATTTGAGCAGAGACTTGAATAAAGGTAGAAATGAGGAAGAACATTCTAGCAAGGTGTGAGATGGAATGTAATGTGCAAGGAACAGAAAATAGAGGCCACCTTAGCTGAACGGAAAATCATGTGAGGGGGAGTAATATAGAATATACCTAAAAAGTTAAGTTGGAGACAAAATGTGAAAAGCTTTAAATACCAAACTGAGGGCTTTGTATATTATTGGAGAGATACTGAAGCTTCTTTAAGAAGGAAGTAAGGCCAGGCCCTATGCTTTGGGCAGCTTTTTGGGGACAAAGCAATCTCCAACCTTCCCCTCTCTCCACTCAACATGGTGTTAGAATTATATCAACACAAAATGCTAGAAGTTATCCTTTTGTTCATTTGCCGTGTCAATCCCCACTTTCCCTACCAACTACTTAACAAACTATCTCCAAATAAAAAGAGCACTTTGACAAGCTAAATGGAACATAAATTTTGACCAATTAACTAGCTTCATCAAACAAACACACACAACACACACACACACACAAGCTTCCAACACAAGAAGTTTTTTCAACAAATTAATCTACCTGTGTGTAAAGCTTTATAAGAATTGATGGATTAATATTTTCTTCATCTTCTTTACAAAGGACTTTTAATTTCTCAAGAGAAGTAGCAGCCTTAATTAAAAATATATCTGTTAAGAAGAAATGAGTACAATGGTTATTCAGTACCTTTGCCAAAACAATTAAAAAAAAAACCTGCCAATTATCTCCCTTTATTCTCCCAAAAGTATTGTTTTATACTTCATCTTCTATAATAGGTCTACCACCAGTCCCAACACATAATTTAAAGCTAATATTGGTAGCAAAACACTCAATACATTCCAAACTGCTTTTCCTTGTAGGTTTGGTTTTTTTCTGTAATATTTCTTTCATAGCACTGTCTCATTTTAAAATGTTTAAAAATCATAGTTAAATATTCAACAGCATAGTATTAATTATATACATTTGAAGGTTTCAATTTAAAAGTACTAACTTTCTCTTAAAACTCAAACCATCTTCTGTCAGGCCATAGATGATTACTGAATTTCCAGATTTCCTTAGGAGATATATATGTAATGTACAATATACAAGCAGCACTTTTGTTAACTTCTTTTCCAGTTTTAATGAAAGCATTTTTCCTTCCATCAAAGTCTAGAAGAAACGAATTAATAAAATGCCTATGTGATGTCCCTCCCTATACAGGTATATTTTCACTCCATTCTACCCTTAATTTTTCTTTCCTTTCCCTAACTTAATACTCCCTTACCTTGTTCCTTTTCTTCCTATTCTCTATATCCCTGTCCATTCATCCAAGGTTCCCAGGAATGAAGATTAATAGATACTATTACATTTCTCTCACAGTAAATGGCGACTGATGGGAGAAAGGCAAGAATAAGTCCAGCAGTCAGTGGTTCCCATGTTATCTCTGGACATAAACAGTCACATTAATGACTTCTTTTGTTACACATTTTGACATCTTTGAAATATGCATTGTGTGATTAAAAACGGGAAATAGAAAAACTTTTGGAAACACAGGAGAGTACAACATGAAATGCACTATTCCCAACATGAGCTGATGTAATATATAAATGTGTAACAATTCAGAATAAAAACAATTTAGTACTGGACTTCTATTAACAGAAGCAATTTAGTACTGGACTTTGGAAAAATTTATAAATTCAAATAAAAAATCTACAACTATGTGGGAAAAGGATACAAAACCAAACTATGACAAATCGTAATTAAAACTTGTATTTAAAATTAGAACAGTTAAGGTTAAGCATATGATCAGTTGAAACAAACATTTTTCAGCCTTCCTATAATAAAATGAAAAAGTTTTTTTTCCCTGCTTTCTTTCAAACTATTTGATTTTCACCTTTGAAAAATATCATTGGGCAGACTATAATAGTGAAACTAAACTGTTCTTCTTGATGTCAAGTATTGACTGTTGTTACTGAATTCAACAATTAAACTTTATTTGGTACTTACTGGAGTGAGTTAGTCAGCCTTTATGAAGAGTTTATTATGTGCAAGGCACTGCTGATGATTAAGAAAAGGCCATCAGTAAATGAAGCTGTTTAACTCAATCTCTAAAGTCTTTTCCAGCTCAATCTACAATCCATCTGGTCAGAGCTTCTGCCTAACCTGAGTCACCAGGACCACTCCCATTGAAAGACTAGTGGATCGGATGGGTTCATTGTATCTTAAACCTGAAGATAAAGCATACTGGAAATCTTCATAACCCTAATATCAGTCTGGTAAATCCCAAGGACCCCTTCTCAAAATGTTTTTAAATGCACAAAGTTATGTATATAATTTAATAATCTAATATATATTATGTGTAATATATAACAATAACATATATAATAACATAAAATGTGTATATACACACACTTATGTGCATTGTTTTGAATCGTTTCAGTTGTGTCCGACTCTTCTTAACGCCATTTGGAGTTTTCTTGGCAAAGATATTAGAGTGGTTTGCCATTTCCTTCTCCAGCTCATTTTACAGATGAGGAAACTGAGGGAAAAACGTTTAAGTGACTCCTCAGGGTCACAGAGCTAATGTCTGAGGCCAGGTTTGAATTCAGGAAGACTCAAATTCCTGACTTCAGGCCCAGGACTATGCCACCTAGCTGCCCTATGTAAAATGTGCATATATAAATATATAAATTTATGCATATTTATACAGATGAATATTTTATATACATTTATTTATACAGAATATACACAAAATTGACATATAAAAACACATTTATATAATAAACATGTACAAATTGTGTGCATGTATATACATATACATACATGTGTGTACATTTTATATTGTATGTATATTATATATATACAAATATACATGTACACATGTGTATCTACACACACACACAAAGAGGGGTTGTCCTGCCGGAAGAGGACAAAAATGACATCACTGTGTTGGAGTCAAGTTGCCCACCTCTGACTACGGCTGATCAGACCAACGTGAGTTTCAAACGCTCCACACCACAGGTCTGCCACCAACAGTCCGTGTGAATATATGTAGTGAATTCTCTAAATTTTCTCATTTCGAATATACACACATACTTATGGGAGAAACCAATTATAAAATTTTTTTCCCATCAAGTCCACGAACAGTCCGTGGACTCCAGGTTAAAATCCCCTGATCTAAACCAAACTCTTCATTTGCGGCCCAGAACACTGACTTGCCCAAGGTCACAGGGCCAGGCGGAGCAGCGAGCTGGGCCCTCCGCGGGGTTTCCTTCACTGACCACGGAGAACCCTCGGCCGAGGCCCGGGCGTCCTTCGGCTCCCCCAGCTTCATCCCCCTTCTCCGCTCCTCTCCCCTCCCCTGCCTCTCACCGTCTCCGCCGGCCGCTTCGCGGAGCGGCAGGAGGCGAGCCAGGGCCCGATCCCCTCGTCCTCCCACCAGTCGGGCCACACTAGAGCCCTCCCAGACCGCCGCCATGACGCCCCCGAGGCTGGGAAGGGGCGCCCGGCGGGAGTCCATCACGTGGCAGGGGCGGCGAACAACGAGGGTCACCTGATCTGCGTAGGAGGGGAGGGGAAGGAGCGCCAGACAGGGGGAGGGGAAGGTGAAAGGAAAGCTTGGACCGAAGCCTAGTGAAGGTCCAGCCCGGCCCGTCCGCCTCATTTCTTCCACTCCCTCCCCCCACCGGGCGCCTCGAGACTCAAACGAGAAGCGGAAGGGCGGAAACGCCGGACACGCCTCTCCCCCGCCCTCGCCTCTCCACCAATAGAAAGCTGTTTCCAGCCCCACCCTAATCCTGACCCTATCAGAAGGCAGCGATGGCAGAAACGAGGCCGGGAGGAAGCCGGCGACTGCTGCCTGGTGGGGGCGGGGAGAGACCGCGAGGTCTGCGGCCAAAGCATTAAGTTCTGTGGCTCTGCGGGGAGTCTGCTATGAGATGTTACAAGTGTACCCGGATAGGCAGGGATAGTTGGCCCTGTTCAGTCTCACGTTAATAATAATTGAAATGTAGCGCTTTGAGGTTGCAAAGAGCCTTACATTCTCTGATGATGATGATGATGATGATGATGATGATGATGATAACTAGCATTTACATAGCGCCTATTATGTTTAAAGGCACGGCGCTCAGCACTTTTAAAATATTATCTCCTTTGAGCTTCACACCAACCCTGGATGGCAGATGCTATTACTATCCTAATTTTACAGATGAGGAAACTGAGGCAAACAAGTTAAGATAGTATCTGAGCTAATACCTGAGGTCATATTTGAACTCAGGTCTTCCTGAGCCTATCCATTGCCCAGCACTCTTTCCACTGTACCACCCAGCTGTTAGGATCCTTACAACCTGCCAATGCTCAGGGCAGCACTCTTAAGTTTCAGAGCAGGTGTAGACCTCAATATCTAGTAATAATAATAATAATCATAATTGTAATATAAAGTATTATAATGCATGATTATATAAAATATAATAACTATTTTACAGCTTTAAAGTACTACATATGTATGATATCTCATGTGATCCTCAGGAGGAAAAAAGGAAGGAAACAAGGAAGGAAGGATTGATTTATTAAAGACCTATTATGCACTAGGCAATGTGGTAAGCACTTTATAAATATTATCTCATTTGATCCTCACGTCAACCCTGTAAGATAAGTGCTATTATTATTCCCTTTTTATGGTTGAGGAAGCTGAAGAAGACAGAGGTTAAGTGCCCAGATTCCAGGACCAGTGCTCTATCCACTTCAACCCATAGATGCCAACTAGGTGCTATTATCCCCATTTTATAGATGAGGAAACTGAGGATGAGAGAGGTTAAGTGACTTGTCCAAGGTCACACAACTAGTAAGTGCCAGAAGCTAGATTCAAACTCTGGTCATCAACAAGTATTTATTGATCTCTTCTGCTTATTCTGCAGTGCCTTATGTGTCAGGCGCTGCACAATTACACAGCAGAATAATACTAATATTTATAATTGCGCTCTAAGATTTACAAAGCGCTTTCTTAATAACAACCCTGTAAGGTAGGCATAAGACACCATCCTGGACCCCTACAGTCTGATTCAAGAAACAAGGAAAAACTGTAAAGCATTCTAGCCTTGCGTCTAGTTGGCACTAGAAAAATATTTGTTGAATTAAATTTAGATCATAAGTTAAGAGCTGGAAGGGTCATTACAGTTTATCTAGACAATATGGTTTACAGATTAAGGAAAGGAGGCTCAGACAGGTTGTGCAAGGTCACACATGCACACACATCTAATAAACGGCAGAGCTGAAATTGAACTAGGTCTTCTGACCCCAAATCTAGGGTGTGACCCCACCCCATCCACACCCCCTGCATTGACCACCCCTTAAAAAAAAAAAGACTATCTATGAAGTATATGATATAGACCTAAGAGGCCTCTCTTTTTCCTTTCCTTTTTTTCTCTTCTCCTGCCCCTTTGCCCTTCTGCCCAAAGCTGTTTCTTCTACAGCTATCCAAAACCCTCGTTTTCTGTGTGTGCTCCTATGAAACCTCCTTTTAGTCTTCAAAGAAAATAGCCAGAGGTCAGACCATTCCCTCCTACCCAGGAACTGCACAATTATCTCCCTAATAGTGAGAACAGCCAGAACCAGTATCACTTACATTGCCTGGGTTTGCTTGGCTTTAGTAGCTGTTGTTTATATCAGACACTGTCAAGTTAAAATACCAAAGGGGTCATTCCTTTTATGTGTATTACTGATGAAGACGCAGTGTGTTACAAGGGAAAGAGCACTGGGCTTGGAGTCAGAGGACCTCGGGTTCAGATGCTGGCTCTGCTGCTTACTACCTGTGTGACTCTGGGCAAATTACTTAGCTTTTCTGGGCCTCAACATTCTTCTCATGTAAAATGAGAGGGCTAACCTGGATGCTCTCTGAAGTTTCTTCCTGCTCTAAATATATGATTCTATAACTACACATTTCTTTAACCCCATGGCAAGTACCAGGGAAAGGAACAAGCATTCATTAAGCACCTACTTTGTGCCAAGCTCTTTGCTAAGGTCTTTACAGATAGCATTTCATTTGGTCTCATCTTCACATGCTGCTGGACTATCAATTTCCTCCTTTCCCCTCTCTCTTTTAAAGATCCTGAAGCACACCCACCACATCTACCAATGTATTGAGGCCATTCACTAAAAGCTTCCCCTTCTCCTCTCCTCCCAATTTCACTTCATCCAGATCTCTTCTGCCACAAACTCTTCCTTCACCTGTCCCACAGGAAGCAGCAGCCTTTCTTGCCAAAGCAAACCCCTCAAGATGCACCAGTGATCTCATTCCACCTTATCTTCTCCAGCAAATTCTATCTTCCATCACCCCCATCCTCTCGCTTACCTTCAATCTCTCCTTATCTCTTAGCTCTTCTCTATTGCCTACAAACATGATCATGTTTCTGCTATCATCAAAAAGTCCTCACTTGCTCCATCCATCCCCACTAGCTAAAGTTCCATATATCTTCTCCTTTTTGTCTGTATGAGCTCTTTGAGTAGGCCATCTATAACCCCTATCTCCTCTTCTCTCTGACTGTAAATGACAAAGTATTAGCTGATATTTATTGGTAGAGGTAGTTCCCTATATCAGTGAAATCACAGGTGCAGTCTAGATCTGTTTGTGTATAGATAGGGAGATAGACAAGAGACAGATAAATAAATATAGATGATGATAGAAAAATAAAGATGGAGACAGCAATAGAGGTAAATAGATGAGGATGTAGATACATAGTATAACTCAGACTCTGGAGTAAAAGTATTTTGGAATAGAAAGGCCACAAGACACCACAACCTACTGATTCATAGTTGAACCCACTGTCCGCAGCTATGAAGACACTCTTCTTTCACCTTCAAATTCCATGGCTGGACCCTCTGGTGCCCTCTTCTGGTGAATAACTGCTTCACCCTTCCCCTCTCTGGACCAAGCATTCCACTAACCAGATCAGCCCCATGGTGGCAAGCACAAGCTTTTCCTACCCCTGGAAATAGGAACTTGGTAGAAAGTGCACCAGGGAGAACAAAAGTACACCTGTCAGATTGGCTAAGATGATTGAAGAGGAAAGTCACAAATGTTGAAGGGGATGTGGAAAAAATTCAGATACTAATTCATTGTTGGTGAAAATGTGAACTGAATCAGCCATTTTGGAAAATATTCTAGAATTGTGCTCAAAGAGTTATTAAACTGCCTATACCGTTTGACCCAGCAATACCACTACTAGGTCTGTTTCCAAAGATGTGTAGGAAAAAAGAAAAAGAATCTACATGTTCTAAAATATTTATGGCAGCTCTCTTAGTGGTAGCAAAGAACTGGAAATTGTGGGGGGGTTCGTCAATTGGGGAATGGCTGAACAAGTTGTGGTATATGATTGTGATGGACATTGCTGTGCCATAAGAAATGATGAGCTTGATGATATTAGAAAACCATGGACAGACTTGCACACAATAATGAAGAGCGAAATGAGCAGAGAATGTTGTAGGTAAGAACAACAGTATTGTTTTAAGAACAACTTTGAGTGACTAGGTCATTTTGACTATTATAAAATACCCAAATTAACTACAAAAGACATAGTAAGAAAGATGCTACCTGCATCCAGAGAAAGAACTGATAAATAGAAGTATGTATAAAATGGTTTTACATATATATGTGTGTGTGTGTGTATGTATATACACACATACATAGATACATATATATACATACATACACACACACACACACACACACACACACACACCTGTGCCTAATGGTAGCCATTTCTAGGGCAGGGATGGAGGGAGGGAAGAAAAAAGGGTGAAACAAGTTACATGGTAACTTTATTATATATTTAAAAGGAATAGCAAGTTGGACATAATAGATTTGCAGTTTCATGAACATTCATCTTTTTTTCTATTCTACTATGCTATGGAAATGCTTGCTTTATTTCTTAAGTTCAGCATAAAATAAATAAAATTTTAAAAAAAAAGAATGAACTTGAAGAACAAAAATGAAAAGCCCTTTGTCTGGCGGAATCTATGCTGAAAGCAGCATGAAGACTTGAAGCCTAGCTTTGGGATGCTGAGCTCTATGATCTCCACTAGGGAGAGGGCCCAAGTAACACCTTGGGGCACTAGAACAAAGAAGTCAACCTCATATGAAGAAAGAAACTTGGGCCTTTTAGTCCCCAGGAAGCTTCAGGTGACTATAATCAGCAGCTAGATGGATGCAGTGGATAAAGTGCCAGGCCTGGAATCAGGAAAACCTGAGTTTCAATCCAGCCTCAGACAATAACTAACTGTGTGACCTGGGCAAGTCACTTAACTTTGGTCTGCCTCAGTTTACTCATCTGTAAAACAGGGATAGTAATAGGACCTACATCCCAGGGTTGTTGTGAGGATCATATGAGAAAATAATTTTAAAGTGTTTAGCATAGTCCCTGGAATATACTAAACACTACATAAATGGTAACTGTTATTATTATTACCTATTAATTGATATCAGTAAATAAGCATTTAAGTGATTACTCTACAACAGGCGTTGTGCTAAGTACTGGGGAGATAAGGTTAGGTCTGGACCTATGATTTCATTGGTATAGAGAACCCAAAGGTGTGGAAACTCCTACCAATTCAGGTCAGTCTCTTATCTGCACCTTAGAGAGTTGCCAAAAGCACTGAGCAGTGAAGTGACTTTCCTAGA